TGCACCCTGTATCAGGCTGCAACTATCTATTCCATCTCCCAAAGTAAACATTATTGAGACAATTTTTTTTGGTTTGGTCTGTGTAACAAATACAAAAAGTCATAAGTTCTCTGCATAATACCTAGAAATACGTGTGAAAGATTTTTTTGACAGTATAAGGCTTGGAAAAAAATGCTGTGTGGCAACGCAAGGTAATAGCAATTAGTACCAACAGGATCACTTTCAATTTATCACATTGTGTGTCTGTTCAGTCTTATCTGGTTTGGGTCTTGCATTGTATGAGACATAAGAAAAGGCTTTACTAATTCTCTTGAAAAATCATCTTTTATTTCTAGAGCAGGAATCATCAGTTGTACTTTAAAGTCTCAGAAGTTGGATTTATGTTTCTTTTCCCTATTAAATAGGCAAATATGTGATTATGAGCCCATTTTAAGAATATACAGTGCTAGAGCAGACACTGAAAGAGAAGTATCAAATATATAGAGTTAAACATAACCTCAACTACGGAGTCTTTGTTATCCATGGATGACAGTCCGGTTAATGAATGTTTTCTCACTGGGATGCTGGACTGGAAGTTCATGGTGAAACACATCTACAGCGTACTCCAGATGCTCAAGACAACCAGACGCATCACAACCATAACTGCAGTGACATGTGCACAATGTATCTATATGTGGGTTGTGTTAGTCCAGCTTCGGTTCTACCCAAAGGAGACTAGCCCAGGTACAAATAACTATATTATTTGGGCTGGGAGAAGACTGGCTCATGTTCTGGATATGTTGCTTAAAAGTGGTGTGTACTACTGGCAGGGGTTTATAAACAAAAAAGGGAAAAGAGGAAAGATGAAAGAGGAAAGATTTTGGCAGAGGCTGTAGTTCAGGCATGCAGAACAGATATCCCAGTCCACATAATCATAAAAGTGTGTCCGCTTGCTAGACTTATTACGTATCTCTCTCCGGTTAGGTTTCTGTCTTTAAATGTAAATAACATAGTATTGCCTTTAGACTTTGAGTCACTAGACCAGAGCCAAAAAAGTTCAAATATGAAAAATATGTTTTGTTTCATTTGCCATTAAAGGAACAGCATTATTCTGAGATAGACGAAGCCTAAATTGTTTCCATAGTAGTCGTCTTTTTTTCAGTACTTACCTACATTCTGTTAATTGCACCAATCAAGAAATTAGAAGGGGATGGCAGAACTGAACATAAATAATTTCTTGACTTTCTGTCAGCCTAGCCAAGAAAGCCTTTACAAAGATATAAAGGAAAATCCACGATTTTCCATTTGTGCACCAGAAAAAAAAATCATAAAATATATGACCTTGTGATGGTTAAAAGATAGCCAAGAGCCAAAGCTGGGCAATGTTTTTATCCCAGTTCAGCCGTGTCATGGGTCATGTGGTTCAGCATGTGAACAGGAAGGTGAGAATGGGTGAACTTTTCCCTCAGTTGTGCAGTCCATCAGAGAATAAATGGAGCAAATCACTCTGCAGCTGTATCAGGAGAACTGCTGAATACCTCTCACACAGAGGCCTTTGTGTTCTGGACATGATCTAGCATTATGATGGGAGGCACTAGGCTGAGGCTTTGTAGCAATTACTAACCCATTATCATGCTAGAACATGAGATCATTTATCTTCTAATTCAGAGTGTCACCTGTTCTTCATTTGCCAGTCAATAACCATTAATTACTTTCAGTGGAAATTTAAACAAAGCTTTTCCCCTCTGTTAAAACCAGTAAGCCATTCAGTAATGACAAATAAACCTGGTGCTGTATGTCCCCCTTTCCTCTCATTCTCAGCCTGGAGTCTGGTACAATATGAACTCTTAAAGGAAATGCCTAGAAATTGATAGGTCAAGGGCCCTTATTAGTCTGATGTGGGGGGAATCACATCAATTCCTGGCACTTGCTGTAGGGAAATTATATAGCTCCTGCTTGTACACAGATTTCTTATTGATTGTCACGGGCTGTACCTGTGGAATTAAAGATTTGAATGTGGAGCTGGGTCAAAGATTTTTCTATCATCTTCTGGCTTGCCTGTGTTTTTTACAGACTGTTTATGCAGACCCATTCAAAGCAGCAATGTTTGGTCACTTTGCTCAAAGGAAAAAGAACTATTAATTAATTTGTTCATAATTTTTAGTATATTCTTTGCTTTTCACACCTTATTTGATTAAGGTAATTTTAAGTGCCAGCAATTGTGAATGCCAGAAAAAATAAAGGAACCGGCAGTGATAGATTCTCAGGTAATCATTAATCTAAACATTCTTTCCTGGTAGAAGTTGAAGCAAAAATTTCTTTTAGCAACTCTATTTGCATTTTTTTGAGTGTTTCTAAGTTATTCCTGTAGAAATCTACTGCAGTTTAAGTTGAACTTTTAAGATGGTGATTACTTGTTCTTCAAAATAGTAGACAAGAGCTGATATATCCAAACACTTCAGGGCAACGAACTGTCAAAGACTGGGTTTTTGTTAGTGTTTTGTAGCTGTCTCCTTCAATATAATGCACGTTTTAGACTAAAGAGAAACTTCCAATGCTATTTTGTATCAATACACAAAATGTGTAAATATTTTAAATTCTCACTGGGTTGGTGAATGGTTCATCATTAGCACTTGGGCTAAATAATATCCAACAAATTACAATACTGAGGTGTTCACAAGTGGAGGGGTGGCAAAAAAATATTGTAAGTCTGATCCTATTTCTGCTTGGACATATTAGTACTACTTTACAGATGTGCATAGTAAATAGCAAGTCCTTACACTAATATTGCATATTCAGTCAACCTACATGCCATTTGCGGCTGGGGGTGACCCTTACCAACCAGTGAGGTTTGGACATTATATCTCTGTCAGATGTAACTGACACTCCAGTACTGTCCACACTTCAAACAAAGGTGAGACTTTGAATTCTTTATGTAGAACAAACATCCACTATAGTCAGGAGGGGTACAGCTATAAATTCTGACTCTGTCCAATCTTGGAAATCTGTATTTATGCAAATACTGCCTTCTCATATGAGGAAGTTTGTTGCTTTCAGCTGGGCTACTTAATGAAAGCTGAAGATCTGTGAAATCAGGGACTATAGGCTAGGAGAACCAGAACTATCAATTACTTTAGATACTCCTTTTATCCTTCTGTGAAGCTGCTACTACTCTGAATCCTGCAAGCTTGTCCAGTCATGAAGAGACAGGAGTTGGTGATTTATGGCAACCTCTCAAATCAGCAGGGAAACCCCAGTGTTCCAAGAAAGCTCATATGAGAGATATGAGTTAAGACATCTCCTTCCCACAAGAGGAGTTTCATCAGCTAGTTGGGTATTTTTGCGTCATTGTCTAGGATGTTCAGCTCTGGAAAGGAAAAATAAAGTTGCTGCCATTGTCCTGCCCAGCAGGTCATATCCCTAAAGCACAATTAATGTCACGGACTTGCACAGCAATTTCCCAAAACCCAGGCTTCTATGCACATTCAAGAAGCAAAAAGGTTCAAAAGGAACATCTTAATAAAATCTTGTCAAAACTTTGGAAGATGCATAAAATAATTACTGGGAAGAAAAATGACTTGCAAATGGAACCATTTAAGTGGAATGTATCACCTTGCTATGCTGGACACTGATTTATTAAGAATATGGAGAGAAAAATTGAATATTTCAGGTGGTATTTACCAAGAGAAACTGAGCTGTCCCGAAGCTTTTATTAATCTGATTTGCAGAGTATCCACTACCGTCAAGGGACCTACTAAAGCTGTTTTCTTTAAAGCTGATGTGAAGAGGTCAATGCAAATAGCGTTGTGGGTTACACTGTGAGAAGATGACAGTCGTTTTTACCATATGGAGAAAAAGTTGAATTATTTTATTTTCCTTTTCTGGTTATTTATTAAATAAGGATCATGCCATACAGGCATTCCCTGTTCCTCTCTAAAGGAAATGAATTGTTTACATCATTTTGATTGATCTAAAGTAATAATTATTCTGTCTGCCTACAGTTCCTAGGCAATCAAATAGTCCAGTTGCTAGAGCAGTGGCTTGCACATAAAAACCCTGAAATGTACCTGAATGGTACATAATACCTCAGACAAGTCACACATGTCTTTGTATGCCTCTTTTTCCATCTGCTTTCCTGCTTTCATGCTGACTTAGCTGGCCAGCCCTCTGAGATGCTCATCCATCATTACTTGTTTGTGGGAGGGGACTTTGTGAAAGGTATCACTGTGAGAAGTAAACTTGCCCCCCTGAAATGCAGATATGTTGACAATTATGTGAAGTTTGGCTTCCAAACGTATTGTAGTTTTTACAATTGTGCAAATGGTTCACTGAAAGAGATCTTTATGGTTGTCTCACTTTTCCACCAGTGTTTTCTGTGTTCCTGTGTCAAAAGTTTCTGCTATGATGCTTTGATACGTAACATTCAGCACATATTCAGCAGGAAAAGCAGATTAATTTGGTCAAATACACTGTTGACTCTTCCTAGTTACCTTTTTAATTGCTTACCCTTAATTAAAATTTCCATTTAGCCAAAACAAATGTGACAGAAGAAAGAGCCAAAAGGACCGGCATTTTCATGATTCAATGTGTTTGACATCATTCCATAACAGACAGACAACAGCACTCTGGCCTGAAACATTGCAAAATTTTATTTTTTTCCCCATATCTGTGTCAATTCATGTAGTTCTTTGAACAAGTGAATCCATGCTCAAGAGCATTAAACCAAGTGTCAGTGTTTAAAAGTAAACATATTAAAGTCTCCCCTGCAGAAACCCCTCCTATGGAACAAATTGAAAATCAAATACAGCATTGTTTTCTATAATAAGAAATAATTAAACTCATTTTAGAGTTGCAGTGAATTGATTAATAGACACTATGTTAAGAAAGTGCTAATTTCCCCATCTTGGGGTATGTGTGTGTATGTGTAGCTATTTCCAAATAAAAATGCAGTAATATAGTATCATGTACAAAAGAGGCTGCATACGTATGCACTGAATCTGACTTACTTTGTCTTTCTGCAGGCCATGTGGCTGATGTTGCAAACAGATGAGCCGGAGGACTTTGTCATAGCCACTGGGGAGGTCCATAGTGTCCGTGAATTTGTGGAGAAGTCATTTAAGCACATTGGGAAAACCATTGTGTAAGTATGAATGTGAGATAGCAGACAGGGGTTGAACATTTCCAGCCTGCTTTGTTTGCTGTATTATTGTCTATTTACATTCTTTTTTTCCCCTCACTTTCTAATTTTTAAGATTTCCTGGCATGAATGACTGCCACAGCAGATATGTCTAGTGTTGTCCTCTAGATCATAAGAAAAAAACATGTGGGTGTATACATCTTAGTTTTTTGTTCCAAGTCTTCATTCTCTGCTCTCCCATTCATCTTCCATCTCGCGGAACAGATGCCCCACCAAGGATATTAGTACCACAACGCTGTTCATCGCACTGCTACAAAAGAGGTTTCTCTGCCTGATTCTCTGTTTTGTGCCTCCACATCCCCACAGTCCTGCTCCCATTCTCTGCAACCTCAAGAGATGACACCTGCCAACCCTGTTCTTTCTGCATGACAGCCCATCAGCCACACCACAAGGATTATGTAGCAACCCACTCTACATTCCTATTAACTCTTTTGCTACTAAGCCATAAAAATGTTGAGTGGTGGGTGCAGAATGTTTACAATACATATTCCACATAGTTTGATTGAAAATACAAAATTCCTTCTCAAGGCCATATAATAAAACCAGGATGGCTTGGTGAGCAGTGTCTGTAATTTATATTTTTATTGTTTATTCTTTTTTCAATTTCCCTCCTTCTGTATCTTCTCCAGGCCCCATGCATCAACATACCAATCTCAGCTGGAAAAGGGAGAGGAAAGCCACAGGCTCTTCCATGACGCTAGAGCCAGGGCTGTTCCTCGGGCCATCAAAGTCACTTGTGCAGCTGGTGAACTTTTGACAGGGCCAATAAGTTTTACTTGGGAACAAAAACTTGACAAATTCAATAAATATGCAGAAGTACACAGATATATACAATATTATTTGAACAGCCAGTGGGTGGCTGGGGAGGTAATAATATTTTCTCCTCAATGAGCTTGTAGTCTGGTTTCAATTTTTGGCATCAACTTCCAGAAAGAATTCTGATGGGGGAGAGAGGGACTGTATAAATGGAATTTCTAGCCCCAAAGCTCAATTTTGGGGCTAAGTTTCTCTTCATATTTTTAGCATGTCTTGTTAGTGAGATGTCTCTGTATGGTTACACGTTGTCCCATGTGCCTTAGCAGTAGTGAGGTTTGACAGAGTATAGGGGAGGTGGTAAGAGCTCTAGTAATTGCTTTGTCTTTCTTATTTTCCCTCCTTTTATTACACTTTTGCTTCTTGTGTTTATAAGTTAATTCTCCTTAGTAAGCATTGATAAGAATATGCTGTGAATTCAGTTGCTCAATATAATTAAGAATTCCTGTGATTTGAGAACTATTTTGTCTCTGTCTATTGTTGTTTGCAAAAGCAAGAACAACGTCTTGTCTTTTCTTTCTTTTTAATTTTTATTACCTAAAATTAGAAGCTGAAACCTATAGTTCAGTATCTAGCTGAATGTCTCTATTTGGAGATGTTCCCAACATAGCAGTTTCTTTTTACGTCAATAAATTTATCCATTAGCTTAAAATTAAACTCCCTCCTTTGGTGCTGGCCTAAGAAGTCTCAGCATTTCCCAAGACTGACAAATCGGCATGTATCTTTTCAGAAGGCAAATTAAACACTTGAGAAAACCTAAAGAAAAGAACAACTACTACACAAATAACAATAAAAGTACTTTTATGAATAGCTTCTGTTATAAAGAGGATATTAAAGGTTTACTTTAGATTTAGTTGGTCCTAACACAAAAAATTTTGTGTCCCAATTTTTGTGTCCACTGAGGTGACAATTTAGGTGCTAATGATAATTGTATTGCTGATCTTTTTGACAGTGGTGTAATTCTGATCATTTTGAATATAGCTTAGCCAGATAAATCAGCCATTTGTTTCCCCCTGCTCCCAGGGTAGGGGTAGTGTCACCACGGACCACTACTCATCCCGTAGCCATCATTCATCTTTCAAACTGCACTAGATATAAAATATTTCTCAGAATTTTGAAAGTTTTGAGAGCCTCCATAATTTTTCTAGGTGTCAGCTGGCCCATGCTCACAGTCACTCTCTTCTTACCCTTGTTGGTTTCTTGGCTGTCCAGCTGGTAACTTCTCACATTCTTCAGAACCACCAAGGATTTTCTACTCCCACCTTTTTCAGTTTGAGTATAGTTTCTTCAGGGAGTAGCCTGGCAGCAAAATCCTCCCTTTCAACATTGTGGGACCCACTGGTGAGTCCTATTGATCTGTTTCTTCACAATTCATGAGGCAACTAAGAACCAGCACACCAGAGTGCAATTGCTAAATGAGTTTCTACGAGTCTGGCTGCTTTCTGCCTATGTCCCCCTTCCTCAAAGTTCGGTTTGCTTGTTTGGTTGTTTGGGGTCATTTGGTTTGGTTTCAGGGTTGCAGGTATTACAAAATTTTGCAGTCTGAAAAACTTATCTGGGAAATTTCCAGCAGCCCTTTCCACTATTTTAAGTGATGGCATGGCTTCCCAGTATTGCTGTACAATGCACATTTCAAAATTGGTGGAATGATGGAGTAAATGGCCAGGAAGAATGAGCAGTTGGCAGAACTCATAGCACATCTGAGAACACAGCAAACATGTGCAGTGGCTCTTAACCATCCCTGCTTTCTGTTTTGGCAGGAAAAGTTGCAAATTTGACAGTCTTAGCTGTCAGAGTAGAGAACAGGAAGAAAAGCAATTCTGCTGCCCTATCAAACAACTAAATATATAGATATTTGTTTGTTTGTTTGTTTTCCTAGCAATTCACATTAACTTATACCGCTGAAAATCCAGGACTGCCTAAAAAGTCTTTCCAAGAAGATAACATAATACTCTGTCATAGCCAGTCATTAGCACATGTCAGGACTACATCTTCTAGCCAAAATAAGAGAGAGAGAAAATACTGCATTTTTGACACTAATGAAATGTACAGCTGCAATAAGACTGATTCTGTCTCTGAAATTGACTGTGAAGTGTACACAGAAGTTTATCTACCTTGTGTGGATTTTTTCTTCTGACATTTCTTTTTCAAGGAAAAAATTTCAAATTGTATTTATATAGTCCTCTGAATCACTCAAATTCAGTTCTTTGTACTAACAGGAAAGCCTCAGAGCTACAAATATTTTCTCCCTGTAAGGATTACACTTTTTTCTTTTACTTTCCCTTCTACTTATTACTAATTAAGAAGTACTTGGGGGAAACACTTCCCACCTATAATTTGAACTACAGCAGGGTAAACGAAACAGGCAAATGCTTGTCTTGACTAATTTTCTGTCATTAATCTTATTAAATTAGAACAGGATTGCAAAGATAGCCTGAAACCACTGCAGCACTCAGAGTTCTTTGCAGAGTGCTACAAAGACTGCTGTCTGCAAATGTGGAAAGAAAAGAGAGAAAAAAAAAGAAAATAATAAAAAAGTTCAAGCAATGGAAAGATTTATTGTGGTTTTATTAATCTAAAAATACATGCACATTTTTTACAGAAATATTCATTGCTTCCAGGATCAGAAATAATTCAGTAAAAATGAGTATTTTACTCTAGTCATTTGGCTCTACATACAAATTTTATCTTAACTAACATGCCAGTTGGTCTTATACAAGATCACCCTAAAAAGGGGAAGTTTAGAGATAAGGTATAAGGTCTAACGAGGTGAACTACTAGCAGAAGTGGAAAAGTGGCCTCTTCAGTGACAGTGAAGGCTGAACTGAGATTGAACTGAGGAAGGAGGGGTTTACTGGTTTGTTGTGATGGTTTCTTTTTTCCCTTTACCTTAAAATGTAAGGTTGGGTTACAGAAGCACATGAGATTTGAACCATTGCTGTTAAGAATGGAAAGCCAGCAATACATCAGTAATGGTGCTGGGGGAATGTGGAAGGGGAGCCATCAAAAGTCATCATCAAAACAGCTGCTGTTTCCAGGTCTGGCCTTTGCCCACCAAAAAATTGCTGGCTGGCCAGTGTTGTGTGCTGTATTTAACAGCTTAAGAAAATCAGAAGCTTTCAGATGAGGAGGAAGGGAACAGAATCTCATACAGAAACAGGAGGCATTTTGAAGACTGATAGTTGAAAGGAGCCCAGCCAGGTTGGTGAAGAATGCTGGCCTGGATGAACCCACACGAGCAAGGGACCTCACCTAGGCCTGCACCGCTTTTTTCAGCATTCTCACTGTAGAACATATGTTTTAGGAAGCATTTAACCCACCTCAGGTGCAGAATTAACTCTTACAGCTGAGCATTCCTTTAGTACTTTCTTATTGATACAAGGTTTTATCTGTAGGCAGAACTAATGATTGTTTCGGAATTCAAATTAAGGTTTGAAGACTGTAACAATTTATCAGATTTCATACATCATAAGAATGATGAGAGTTTCTCTAAGGAAGACTGGGTGAGAATAAAATGTGGTGTTTCACTGGAAATTCCACAAATTGCCCCCCCCCCAAATGAAATGAAAACAATTCTCACAAATGTAGTTTGGAAAAATATCTGATTTCAGGTCAGCTGGACTGCTTTGTTTCTCTTCTAACCTCCTTTTTAAAAAAGAATAACTTAAAAAGAATTTTTAAACACATTCCTGAGGGGAAAAAAGAAAAAAAGCTCCGAAAATGTCAAAGCATCTTTTTAGATATTATTAATAGAATTTTGTTTCAGCTTGACAGTAATGGAACTCGCTTGAAACTAAAACTTTTCTTTCCAGATTGTTTTGATTTTCACAGAAGCATTAATATTCTTTGAGAAAACATTTTCTTCTCAACACAAACTTACAATTTGGAGTAAATGGACAAGAGCTTCAAAAGATTTAAAATTAATTGAAAAAAAAAAGAAAAAAGGAGCCTAGCATGTATTCTTTTTTAAAAATTTCATGATGTGTGGAATAACAATTTAAATTTTAGAAACTTGAGGTTGACAGTGCTGGGAATACAAGAACAACAGCAGCATTGTTTTTACCGTGTTCCTTTTGTGAACAAACACTGAAGACCTGATTCATCAGAGCATTTGAAAAAAAAATGTAAGTACATCCCTCTATGATAGCATACTTGTTCTTTAGATTTAAGCATAAGATTGTGGTTAAGCAATCCCTATATCCTTGATTGCTTTGATGCATCAGAGCTGCTGGCAAGGTTGGTGGTTGAGCTGGTGGCCTATGAAGAGTTCTATTTAAAGCTTCCCTACAAAATATTACTTGCAAAAGACATTAATGGTCTGTTACATAGTGTCAGTTTTGCTGTTTATAAAGGGCCAGGACAGAATGAAGTGCTTTGGCTTAATTGTGTGTGTACCAGCACTCAGGTCACAAATCTGAGAAGTCTGCACAAATGGTATCTGATGTTAGCTGTGGAAGAAGACCATAATTTTCATGAAATTTTATTTTTAATTCATTTATTTTTCATTTTCAAATGTCAGAACATTTTCAGTTGACATGTATTTGATTTTAAAAGTGTACATGATAGTTTTGTTTCCTATAAAGAGGTTGAGCAGCTGTAGCTACTGGTGGGTTTTTGAGTATTTTTTTAAATGCTATCAGTTCTGTTTCTGTGTAAAAATCAACAAGGAGATGAAAAGCATATACTTGTTCAGTTTATCTGTGTTTTTGTGAAAGGTTTCATTTTTGGTTGATTTCTTCACATCAAAAACATATATACTTTTCCTTGTTTGCTTCTAAGTTACAGCTATTCAGACCATTTGGTCCACTGCAGTGCTTTTCCCACCCCCTCTCAATTATCCTGGCTCCCCTGTGTCCTTCCTTGCCCATCCCTCACCTCACTGCATGGATACCCTGGCTCTTCACCCTCAGAAAATCCTCTGTATCTGTGAATGTTTTTATAGCTGGAAGCTTACTGTGTTACTGAATAGTTATAGGAAATTAAAAAGAATTGGAATTTCCAGATTTGAAGAGGCAAAGGAGCATTCACCACTGCTGATAATAAGCCTTATAACAGTAGTGATCTGCAGATATGTAATTAGCCTTAAATTAAATGCAGTCCATTCCTCTATAAATCTGGAGTGTAAAAGTTCTTGCAGTGAAGAACATTTTAAATAAGTAAACTTGCACATGCATCTAAAATGTGATTAATTCTGTTTATGGAAATTTCTGAGGTAGGTAATAGTAGTGGTATCCACCAGAGCTGACCATGTCTATTGTCCTAAGCAATCCCAAAGCAACCATCTCCACCAGTGAGGCACTTGTTGTGGAAGCGTAGATGCAGAGGGCATCATACCCACTTTGTCAGTAGCAAGCATGTGGTCTCATACATCCTTCTCTGGCTGCAGAGCATTCTGGCTATGCCCATGAAGGCATCCCATCCTTTACTTCAGTGACAGGATGAAGCTTCCCAGAGCGGGACAGGCAATGGTGTTGCTGTAGAGGCTTGTTTCCTGCAGGCTGTAGGACCAGCATTTTGTGAAAAGCCTACACAAGGCCAGCAGGTACCTGCCTGGGAGCCCTGGGCTTTGACACAGGTGGGAGTCAGGGGGATCCACTCCCCAACCTCTACAAATTTAGCCCAGCCCTGATTAGCCAAACTTTCTTTACCTTTGCATATTCCTTTGCATTTCCCCCAAGTTACATAAGGCTATTTTCTTGCCTACTTGGGTGTCCACCCTGAGGAACAGAAAGCTGGGTAGTCCTTGTGGCTTAAGCTATCTAAAACCACAGCAACGTGAGCGTTCATTATCCATCTTCCATCATGCTCATGCTCCAGGATAACCTGGCAGTTAACAATTCTGATTGCAACTTGACTATAAACTAAGGAAGGTTTCATGGGGATTTTTCCCCTTCCTTGTGGTTAGAGGAAGAGGGAAGGGGGAGTTGGTTCACTAAATGGATGTCTTGCTCCTGCTGTCAGGCTGGCCCCTACACAATCCCTTTTATCAGCAGTATGGTGTCCACAGCTGTGAGCGCCGAGGTGCCAGGAGTAATTAGAAGTGTGGCTATCACATGCTACTTTGTTCACAATGAGAAGTACTACTTTTTCCTTGTGAACTTTTCACATTACTGGCCTGAACAGAACGGGTGGAGATTTCTTCTTAAGCTATTTCTATTGTTATATAACTTTGATAGTGACATTAAGTGAGTCTTTATTGGCTCAGCCAAGCCTTCTGGAGCCTGTTGGGTGTTAAATGGGGTTCTCTGCTCAGTGACCTCCAACAACAACTGACGTCTCCTGATCTAAGCGCTTCCTGTTGTTTTACTGGTGACGGTTAGTTTTCTATTAAGCTCATTTGAGTCCTGCACATTTTTACCCTCTGCCCTTTGAAGGGAGGGACTAATGTTAGTTTTGGCTTCTGAATGAAAACTTTGCAGTTTAGGCTTCAAACAGAGCAACTGCAAAAGAAAGAAAGAAAATTTAAATTATAAATCATCTTTAGCATCATAGCTTGACTGTTAGCAGTTGACTTCACTGCGGCTATTATCCGTTGGAAATTATTTTAGTGTTGAGTGTTCCCAGTATCAAGCATCCTAAAGGCTTGCTAGTCATCCAAAAGCCATGAGTTGTGCTTTAAAAAATTGTGGGATTAAAAAACTAGTAATAATGCATATTTGGTATTTCCTTCTGCCTTTCAGTGTTTTAACCTTCATTGGTACACAGAGGTCACATTTTCAGACTTTCCTCTTTAGCCCTCAAGGCTAGAAACTCAAAAATGAAGGCTGAGATTGTGAAAGAATTGATGTCTTCTAGAATCTTCGGGGGGTGGAGAGGGCAGGGGAGCAAGGAGAAGTCAAACCTGTGACAAAATCCTAAGAGCTAGCAGTACAATTAGTGAGTGAGAGGCAAGGGGTGCTTTTCTTTCACTGCTGGCGACTGAGGCTAAATAGCCTAAATCACAGTGCTGACTTAAATGACATAGATTCTACTTAAACACAAAAAAAAGCAAAGGACTTCATAACTACACACTTTTGTGGCAAGCTGGTTCAGAGACAATGATATACACTTGGAGGTAAAAAGCAAAGAGAGGATAGAGTTTCAATCATAACTCTGGATCTTATGCATTCAATGGATTACATTTGATGCACACATGTACGTTCCTACATGTGTCATCTGAACTATTTGTTTTAAAAGGAAGCATTGTCCTCAGGCTTCCAGGCTGCAGTCTGGCCTCTCCAAAGACAGAGCTAGTTACCCACCAAACGGCTTCTCTTCTGCTGCTCCCAAAATTTTAGGCCAGGACAGTTGCTAACAAAATAGATCACATAAATGACAGCAAATTGCAGGCCATTCAACACATATTAAACTAGTTTGGACAAAGTAGCTGGCTTCCAGCTCACAGGTAGTAAGTACTGTTTACAGTACAGGTATGTGAAGTGCCATGTTGAGCTAGAACTGAAAACTCAAGAACTGTTTTTGTTTTGGTTTTCCTAGTTAAGCGCAAATTAAACTATGCAGCTTAATGCTGTTCAAAAAGAGCTTCATGTCCATAAAATTAACAGATTAAAGAGTTCCTGAAAGTATTGGCCAAAATACAAGAATTAAAAATATTTTAAGAAAACAACTTTGAACCAAGCCACAAATGGAAATACTCACTGTCACATTTATTTGCAGATACATGAGACATTTGAAATCAGGACATTTTATTTTCCCCTAGCATTATGTATTTAATTTTGAAGTCCTGCATTTGAGACCTTCCACTGAATCAAAAACCAAAACAAAGAGACTTCAAAAGCCATTGTTGCTCCATTCAAGTCTGAACTCTGCCTTTGTTCCTATAGCTAATGAGTTTAGACTGTCCTGCAGGGAGAATTGACACCAGCCTCAAGTAAATGAAAGCAGGCCAAATGTTGGTAAGATCAGAGCACTAAAGTAATTATGGGTTCATTAAATGTTTATCTTCTTTACAGGTGGGAAGGGAAGAATGAAAATGAAGTAGGACGATGCAAAGAGACTGGCAAGATTCATGTGACAGTCAATCACAAGTACTACAGGCCAACTGAAGTGGTAAGAAAACGCCTCTCTCAGCTTTGCAAATGAATAATCCAATCACTCAGCCAATAAATTGCTGCATTTGGCCAGCAGTCTGTGAAAACGGCTTAATTGCGCTCCTGCTGCCAGCTTTTAAAGCTCTAAATTAGCCTGCTTGTTGGCCCCCTCACAGCCAGCTCCCTGGGAACGGGCGGGCAGGCAGGCAGGCAGGCAGGCAGGCAGGCAGGCAGGCAGGCAGGCAGGCAGGCAGGCAGGCAGGCAGGCAGGCAGGCAGGCAGAGTTGGTTTGCCCTGTCACAGAGACATGACTCTGCTTCAGTCACCCTCTCTGAACGGCGGAGGGGATTCTTAGGGGGGTGAAACGTCATCTTCTGGGAAACAAAGTGTAAAACAACTTCTTGTTCCTTCTGGTATCAAATGGATATGTGGTCATCTCTCCTCCAGCTGCAAAAAGGGAAAGCAGAGGAAGATGGATACTAATAGGCTTGGTTTTTGAAGTGTCTGTGTCTTCATGACAGTATTTCAACTCCGTATCATGAGTATCTGCTGTTCAGCTTAGGTCTTTGTAGCTGTGGTTACCCATTTTAGAAGCGCATTTGTGCTTTGTTTTCTTGGGTGCTTTGCCGGCAGGACCAAGCCACTAACCCCTGTGCTCAAATGTTAATGATCGTGCTGGGAGAGGAAAAAAAAAAAAACACCAAAAAGACCCAATAAAACCCACAAAAAAAAAAAAAAAAAAAAAAAACCTAGTAGTAATTCCAAGTCAGGCAGGATGGCAGCAGTGCAGAGACGATCGATGCAGGACACAGGACAGAGCCTGGTTTCTGGACACAGGGAACAATAGCCCCAGTTGTACGTAGTGGGAGTGGGTGTGCCCAGGAAAGGATGTTCTCATCTCCTGGGGTGGGGGATACCAGTCCCACTGGCTGCTGACATAGCATTGGCTGTCAGTTCGTCTATTCAGAAGTGCTGGCTTTAGCTGCCTGATTCAAGCAAGGTGTGACAAGACAGGCACAGATTGCAGGGTGGGAGTGGGGAGTTGCATGTGTGGAAGTGGACATGGGTTCTAAAGTGGAAATTCAAGGGGGGGAATAGACTTTCATGTTATGCATAAAAGGGCTGGGCCCTGTATCAGAATCAAACACTAGGAAGTCATTAAGAGCTGTCCATCATTCTGGCTTTGGTGAGGTGTCAGGATGATAAGGAGGACACAGAGACAAAAGGACTTGCCAAACAGGAAAAGGACACTCGACCCAACAAGTCTGTGCTTTGTGAGACCCACTTTCCTGCTTTGTCATACCTCTTACTGACAAGTACATATTCACTCCTCAAAAATCATGGGTAGTACATAGCTGTTCTGAAACCCTCACTGTAGTTGCACCTTATTCATGTACTCAGACATTTTCAGCTGAAATAGTGAATCTGATGTTTATCTAAAATTATCTGGTGTGTCATAGGCCACCTTCCCTTGGGCTCCATCTCTGTCTTCCATTGCCCCTATCTTGCTTTGTGTTTAACACAGCCCCTACTTGGATCCTTTGGAACCCAAGAAGGCCATGAAGCTGCTCAAGCATGATCCAGGTAGAAGCACAAAATGGGGTTAGAAGTGCCTTTGTCTTAAGAAACACGGAGATGAGCTGTGAGCAAATTCCTCTATGAAAAGATGTGGCATCTACTTGCTGCAATAAAAGTTTCCTTTTTTGAAGTATCTCGGGATGGGTAACCAGAATAACTTTTTTTTTTTTTTTTAATTCTGTTTTTAATTCCTTTTCCTCATTCCTTTCTTCCATCAATTCCAAAGGCAGGCAAACTTCAGTGTGTTTCAGTCAGGGAATCACATCTGTGCAATTCCAAAATACCAGATCAAACTCCAATCCATTCCAAGAAAGTGAGGAAAAGCAATGACAGAACTGAAACAGACTCACAGCATGTGTCCCCTCCCACCATGCTCACCGAGACCACTGAAGGCAGGAAAACCTCAGGCTGACATTTTGGAAGGAGGCTTAGCCAGATCAGTTAGCAGGAATTCTGCTGTTGAATCTCAGCTAACACAGAAAATCTGATGTTCAGATACTCATGTCTTCTTTGGAAACGTTTCTGTCTGTCTGTCTGTCTCTCTAAAATTAAATATGGTATTCTGAAAAGTGAAAATAAATATCATCTAATCTTGTGTACAGTCAGTTCTGACAGTGCCAATACATTTATTTGAAAACACATTTGTTTTCTTCAGTTAGTGATCCCTAGGGTCAAGGCCTCCCATTGAAAAGCTTAGCTGTACTGAAGAAGAAACCTTGAAATGTGAGACTGTCTTCTGGTCCAGCTAAGTAGACCCTTTGCATGCCTTGACTAAATCTCTTCACTCTACTTTTGACTGCCTTGGGGCCCCCTGATAGTTACTGGTCCTGGGAATTGTTCTGCTAATGCTTCTAATGCATGTCTCTCTCCTTCCCTCCTTGGATCTTGCCAAGTACAAGCCAATTGGTACTATATCTTTCAGCTTCTATTGAATTCCTGTCAATATCTTTTCTGATCATTTTTTAATTGTATTTGGAGACTCTAGTCTGCTGCAAGGATTGGGGAGAAATCATTACTTCTGTCTTTCTTAAAATCAGCAGTTTCTCACAGAAGCTTCATGACAAGTTTGCTAAAAAGCAAACTGCTGAACTTGATACAGTGTGAAAGATGCTTTCATACATTGTGCAGGCTTTTTTAGCACATGGCTAGTAAGGTCATACTTTATACTCATTTGCTGCCCTCAGTATAGAAAGATAAGTTTCTACAGCAGTTTAATCACCTGTAAAATGTAGATACTTCAGAAATCATCTCACTACTCTTTTCTATTTTTGGTGCAATCAGAACATTCATATTGTAGGTAGGCTACTTATCTATACTTGGATTTAAATAATCTATTTGGTATTTACAATATATGAGAATTAATTTTAAATTTCTTTTAAAAGTTAAACCTGAAATTCAGTGAGACATCTCAATCAGTTGGAAACAAGCAGCCCTGCAGCACAGGATGTCGGAAATACCAGGTCTCTCAACCCCTGAAGTTGGGTAATTTTTGGAGAATTAGGGCCCGTCTTTAATTTTCTTATCTTTCCGCAAGATAATTACTATTCATTTGTATGCAGAAATTTCCCTCTAAGAATTGCACAATTGCTTCTAATCAAATTTTGCCCGTTAAGGTGTTTGAGTAAAATTACCTCTTTTATTTTTGCATGTAGATATTAAGCTAACACTTCTACAGGAACTTGCTTCATTTCATTGCCCTTTCCTGCAACAATGAAGATTAACTCTAGGTCTCACTGGTCTGTCCTATCACCAAAGAATTTAAGATGTATATATCTCTCAGTTAGGAGTTTATGTTACTTTTTAAAAGGAACAAAAAAATCTTTCAACCATATCTAAATACTGTTTTTTCTCTGAATCTAATGCTCTGCATGTGTTGCAGAGAATTCTTCCCCTTGCTTCCCACCTGTTTCTGTAGTTGTCATACAGCTTGCCTAGGATAGGAACTGCAGGTTGTATTCATGCATCACATTTGCTGTGGGCTGGTGTGGCTGTAACTCTGAGGATGTACATACATCAATGCAAATTTTCTTCCTTTAAGCAAGCCCTGGAAACTCCGTCAGAATGTGATGCTAATATTTAAGCCTTCATCTGGCCTCTTATTATTCTTCAAAGAAAAAAGGGCATTCTAACTTCTTCTTCCTTTTGTTATATGCCTTAAGCAATTAAACATTTTTCTCCCAGGTCTTTCTAGCACTGATATAAATTAAACTCCATGTAATGGTTAGGAGGAAAAATTTGTGACAGTATAAAAAAATTACTCATTCCTCCTGGAATCGTTTCCTTAAAAGTGTTCTTTCTAACTCCTGAGAAGTTCTGTATCCCTCCCAAATAGGTTGTTTGCTTTTCAAATTATTGTTTATTGTATCTAAAGTATCTACAGATATTTATAGCTACAGATAATTGTATCAAAATTATCCACATGGATAGATGGATAGATAGATAGATGAAGATGACATTTCCCAAATTTTCTATGTGACACCTACACTAAACTTTACATCTTTACTTATAGAATCATAGAATAGTTAGGATTGGAAAGGACCTTTAGATCATCTAGTTCCAACCCCCCTGCCATGGGCAGGGACACCTCACACTAAACCATATCACCCAAGGCTCTGTCCAACCTGGCCTTGAACACCACCAGGGATGGAGCATTCACAACCTCCCTGGGCAGCCCCTTTCAGTGCCTCACCACCGTTACAGTAAAGAACTTCCTCCTTATATCCTCACATCCTGCACTTTACTGAATTTGCCTCAGTTGCCCTTTTTCTCCTCAGAATTAAGAAGAATGGCTTTAAATTTCAGTCTCTTCAGATGTTTCTTAAAAATTCAGCTCTGTGTTTCCCGTGTTTCGTAAGATTCCAGCTAAAATTCCTTGGGGCATATCACATTCTCCCGGAGTCAGCTTTCTTAAAGTCGAAAAGATTTCTGAATTCCTCTAAGTGTTCCTGCCCTAAAGAGCGTTTAGAGTCTAACGAAACCATAATCACAAAACCCTCAATGCCCCGCACTTCTACTTTAGTTTTCATGCAAGCTTCGTTTCCTACTTTTAAGTTCAGAGCCGCCTGTGACTGTAAGCCGTTCAGATGTCTGCACAAGGAAACATGTGCTTCCCTTCCTCAAGAATCTTTTTGCTCATCAATGTCAATATGTGGCCTGTATTAATACTCCTGAAAATTAAATGGGAGCATTCAAGGAAGAATAATCTTCAGATGCCTTTCCTGTCTACTTTCCTCACTAGCAGTCAACTGAAGAAGTTGTCATAATTCTGACAGTCTTATCTGTTTTTTTTTTTTCCTCCTTGGTCTGAAAATATATGTCAACATCTTAAAACTACTGCGTTGGTAAATGATTACCTCTGTTGTCCTTAATTCTTCTCCAAGCTGACTTTGCTGCTGTGTCAGCCAAAATGTTTCTATCTTTCCCTACTTTAAACTCGGCATT